TGCCAAGTGAACATGACATAATAAAAAGTCAGAGCCATTAAAAGTTCCAGGTACTCTGAACAGCAGCAGTTCAATTCTAAAGGCCATCTTAGGTGACTTTTGAAACTCTGTTCTTGAGAAGGGTGCTTTTCTGATGCAGGCCTCTTTCATTTTGGTAAGAATGAATCATATAACTTAACGGACTACTGTCTATCAAATCTTTCTCTGAAACACAGTAATCTAGGAAACTATGCTCATAGCTCTCAGTAAGACATATGAAGCTATGTTGATGATTCCTCCCCCAACTGCTAAATTAATCTCTATACTGACCTGGCTAGGCTGAGGAATAATCATTGTGATAAAGTCTTAAGTGCCTAGTTACACCTGAAATGCTTGCTAAAATGTAGATTACAGAATCCCAACCCCATATGTTCTAATGTATTAAATCTAGTGGAGGTAAGGAGTCTAGGGAGTAGTATTTTAAGTGTCATTCTTATTAATTTGGAAGTCTTCTTGGTTCAATGAACAAAGTTTGAGAAGTGCTGCTTCAAGGAATTCACAGTCTCATGTTGGAAACGAATAAACAAATGCAATGGAATTTTGGAGCTATTATTGAGAGGATAAATGGATTTAAATTTAAATTTATTTGCTTAACAGGAAACTCTTCAAAAAAGAAGTGATGACTGATTCATATTTTCAGAGGTCACCCAAGAATCAAGAAAGTGAGAACTAGTCGGGGCAGAAGTTCTAGCATAAACAGAAGCAGAAAGTTATGACATATCCTGACTATTTGAGAAAATGAAAGTCGATTTTCACAGTGATTGGCAAAGTGAAAGTTTCTCAGTTGTGTTCAACTCTTTGTGACTCCATGGACTATACAGTCCATAGAACTCTCCAGATCAGAATACTGGAGTGGATAGCCTTTCCCTTCTCCAGGGGATCTTCCCAACCCATGGATCGAACCCAGGTCTCTCACATTGCAGGCGGATTCTTTACCAAGAATATTGAAATGGGTGGCTTATCCTTCTCCAGGGGATCTTCCCAACCCAGGAATTGAACCAGGATCTTTTGCATTTCAGGCAGATTTTTTACCAACTGAGCTATGAGGGAAAGTTGAAGACTAAAGAGAGGAATTCTGGGTCCAGATGATAGAGTACCTTAAATAATATGATAAGGGGTTTGGATTTCACCGTTTGTGCTCTAGAAAGAAGACTTTGCAGACATAATGTACATGAATTCAAGTGGGGCAAGAATGGAGGTGAGGTGATGGCTTAGAAGGGGGATCCTAGGAAGCATGCGTAGGAATGAGGGCAGATCTGTCTCTGGGAAGAAGAGATTAGGTTTAAGAAAGAAAGTCATCAGTACATTTTTTTTTCCTTCTCACTGTTTGAATGCAGTTGATAAGGCAGTGAAGTATTAGTTGCCCAGTCATGTGCAGCTCTCTGTGATGCCACGGACTATAATCTACATGAAATTCTGTCCATGGAATCTTCCAGGCAAGAATACTGGAGTGTGTAGCCATTCCCTTCTCCAGAGGAGCCTCTGGACACGGGGGTTAAACCTGGGTCTCCTGCATTGCAGGTGAATTCTTTACCATCTGAGTTGCCAGGGAAGCCAGAGGAATATATCAAAGATGGCTGGATGCATGATGTGCTACTTAGGACTGGAGATCCGACTAAAAGAGCAGTTTGGCAAGAGAGATGATGTATGTGGCTTCAAATGGTTTCTTCTATTATATTTTCCTTTAAAATATTTGTAATTTGTCTCCACATGAAGATGTCAAGTAATTCCTTGACAATACAGACATGGCATTCAGGAAAAATATATGGGTTAAAGATATAAAATTTTGATTTCATTATTGAAACTCTAGATATTCATCACACTATCTAGGGTGACTGAAGAGAATGAGAAGACGATAAGGGCTAAATTTAGTGCAATAATTAAAAAATAGAAAACTACAGTTGACAAATAATTTATGTAAAATATATAATACAAATGAAAACCAAATTAGATGGCAGACAGAATTGATTGGGAATTTCAGAGGTGTGTAAAAACTATGAGGGTTGGAATAGATAGAGAAATTTCTAAGTGGAGGGGAATTATTAATCTTCTAGATGAGTGAATAGAGTTTAGCCAAGAGAAGGGGAGACTCTTCCAGATCAGAGAAGACACGTGTGCAGACATGTGAAGGTGGAGCTTCACAATTTTCAATCTGAAAATTACTTGATGGTTTCTTCCCAGACAGCTTAGCTACATTTGTCCACCTATCAAAGCAAATGATGAAGGCCCTGTTTCACCCCTGTTTTCTGATTTCAAAAGATGACAGTATGGTTGGGGTAGGGGTTAGAGGTGGAGCTTTCGTACTAAAGAAGCTATGGCTGTGACATCCTTGGAAAGTTGCTAATACTGTTAATACATGATTGATCTGGGGGAAATGCAAAGGATGGTTTGGACATGGAAAAAAATATTTAAGAGATTCAGAAATTATAACTGCTGAAACACAATTTTAAAAATGTTTTTCTTTTTAATATGAGGGGAAAAAGTAGGTCTATGGCATGCGGGAAAAGCATGTACTATGTTATAAAAAAGAGCTTGTTTCTAATATTGAATCTGCCTTTTATTTGCTGAATGGTTATGTATATTTTGCTTAGCCTCTCTGAGATTCAATCTCTTCATAATTTAAATAAATCTAATAGAGTCCACTTCAAAAGGGTACTGTAAGGATTGAATCCAATATCTATGGCAATGAGAGTGTCTAACACTGTGTCTACAGTCTCCCCAGTTACTTTTCTAGGACCTTTATTTCCTATAGGATTAGGATAACTGGCTGGTCCACACAGAACTATGTTTTAGGTATAAACATGAATGTATTAATAATTTTATTGCTCATTCAATTCAATAGCACATTTATAGAGATAAATGATAAGGTGACCAGGTCATAATTCTAGCCTACTAAATGCTATTATGGTTTTCTTTCTGAACTCACAGATCTCAGAGAAAGAGAAAAATCAGTTGAATTTTCTGGGTGATAAGGAAGGGTTCATTCTCTAGCGTATTGGATGGAACCTCACCTCAAGTTACATTTGAAATGGTGCATTGCACCTGCTCATTTATCACGCTGCCAAGGGCTAGCTTTGCTGTCTTGCTTTTTTCTGTTAAAATTCACATCTTTGCAGTGTCTTGAATTGCTTAGTCTCATAATGTAAGTAACATATTAAATCTTGCTTAAATAAAAATAACTCCTAATGTATCAAGTTTAGACAATGCCAAAAGGTATGATCACTTAGCTGAGTCTAACGTTAGTTTCCAAATACAGCATGCAAGTGTATAGCTTCCCTTTCATTTCTGATCAATGTTATTTTTATTTGAATTAAATCTTAAAATTTAAAATAAAAGATCTATACAAATCCACATAATTCTCTAGAGATATTAGGATATTTTTCTTTACTGTGTACCATATAGGGCAAGAGAAAGCCAGCTTTAAACCTATAAGACTCTGGGCAGCTCAGAGTCTCTCCCCCAACCCACACTCAGCACAGGTGCTCTACCACTGGAAATCACTAACCTTTTGCCAGAAACAGCCTAGAAGATGATAACACTGGTTCAAGGACAGGGTAAGGGAAGGGAAGTAAAAGGAAGTAAGTGGGAAATTATAGCAAATGTGATTAACAGCTGTTTTCTAAAGCAAGCCTCTGTCAGGGATCTGCAGCTGTGTCATTGTGCTTCAGTTCTTCAAATTATACAAGAAGATGCATAAAGCAAAAGATACACGGAGAAAGGTTAAAGGAAGTCCAAAGAAAGGTTAAAGCAAGTCCAAAATCCATGCAACATATGCCCTCACTCCCTACTTATTCTTCCGCTTTATCTTTTCCCTCTCTTTTGGGAAGAAGCTAGATGCCTAAGAAACAAAGTCCTCCTACTCCCTAGGTATCTGTTCTGGGTTGTTGCTGTTGATGATTTTGGTATTTTTTTCTGGTTTTGGAGAGAAAGAGAAGGGGTTGCTGGAACACCAGCGGATCCTTTAATAAGCCCCTTCAATAAAATCAACATGCTGTATGCCTTCCAGAATGCTTTCTAAAGGGCTACATGTACCTCCTCAAGATATAGAGGAGATACCAGGATATGGCTGGAAAACTAAGTCTCTCAAAATACTCGGTCCTAAGAGCATCCAGTTTGGGTTTTAAAAGTCTAGCTGCCAGGTTTCTAGTTGTATGCCTTATATAAGGGTGGATTCCCAAAATATTATGTTTAATATTACATCTTAGTTGCCAAACAACCACAATGAAATGTAATGCATTGATATTATTGTCTTATCCCACGTGCTCAGAGAAGTGTTATTTCCTCTGAAAGATCCCCTTCAAGCAACCAACATCCCCATGTGAACCATTCCATAGGTCCTGAATTTCTGCCCCTTCCTCCAAGTGCTCAGGGGGGTTGGCAATCCACCTTTGAATTAAACAATCTCCCACCACTACTTGGAAATACACACACCGTCTCTTCACAGCCCTTTGTAACACAGAGTCTGGTAAAAATCACTTAAAAAAGAAACAGAGCCGATGACCCAGAGGAATGTACAAGGTCAGGCCACTCCCGGTGGGGGCGAGAAAAGGTAGGAGGTGCCGAGGTCAGGGTTAAATAACACTGCCAAAAGAAGTCCCCCTGCCCGGCCACCTCCTTCCTTCATCTCTAGGAGGAGTCTCCAGTGAGCTCCAGCGTCTGGAAGCCTGCCCCTCCTGCCGCAGAAAGGTTAGGAAGCGCATTTCAAAGCCGCATCTAAAGCAAGCCCAGTTGAAAGAGCCAAGGAAAGCCTGGCCCATGACCAGGGTTGGCCCAAATCACTTGCTGCCTTTCTCTTCTCGCAGCCTCATTAGCGCTTCCCTTCTTTCCGTTTCGTCCTCTTTACCCTTAGAGTGCAGGTCCCGCTGGGACTCGGGGGTCGGGTCAGTCACCCTAGGGATGTTCGGTTAGCGCCTGCAGCTCAGACCCAAGGCTGGGTTGAGATGTTTTAGCATCCCGTCCGCCTATCCCACCTGTCTGCCTGCGGCACAGTGACCCCTGGAAGGATAACGCGGGATCTCTGCGGCCAGGTGTGCGCGTCCTGCGCCGGCCCCTCGGGGACATCGCCGCACGCGGCTGCAGGGTGCAAGCGGCCTCCGCAGCGCCGGAACCCCCGGGTGGAACGGCCGCCCGGGCTGCAGCAGCGGGTTTGCCTCACCACGCTCCCTGCTTCGCCCGCCCGCAGTGCTCCGCACGCCTCTCCCCATTGTGTCCGCAGCGCCGCGGGGCTGAGCAGTGCGCCCGCGGCACCCGCGCCAACCCCGGAGCTCTAGGCAGGAGGAGCCCGGGAGTGAAGAGAGGGCAGGGAGAAGGAGCCAGAAGGACCCCAGAAGGGCACAGCGCTTCATCAATAATACAGAGGCGCCTGGACCCCCCCACCCCCCACTCCTGCAATACGTTTCCCAGTTAAACGCGACCAACAGGAGCGCTTCCTGGCAGGTCCCACGCGTGTGGTTTTTGTATGTGAAAGATGGGACGCACCTTGTTCATTCATCTATCTGCGCTTCTTCCTCCGGTCTCCTACAGAAAAAGCTCCCTCCTCCCCGCCTCAGCTTTAAACCACCACCTTCTAAACATCAGCACTCTATTTCCAGGCCAAAACTGCAGGTTGAAAACGCAGATCTTGAAAGACACCACTACATACCCCGAAGAGTTTACCACAATTCACCCAGTAATGCTGATTTTCAAAGCCCCCCTTTTCATCCCCTTTCTTGGAGAATGCTTTCAAAGTTTGGGAGCCCAAATGGCCCTGGACCCGGAGGTTTCTGCACCCCTGTCCGCATCACGAACCGCGGTGCGGTCAGAGACACCGAGATTACGCCGCAAAGTTGCCCAGCATCAACCCAGCAGGCCGCTGATGCTAGGAGCATCCTTCGAAGCAGTTCACCGGTGTGTCCCCAGGAAGCCCAGATGCGCGACAGAACCTCCCAAAACAAGGATTCATCCAACCACCTACAACAGACACAAATCGCGGAAACTTCTTTGTGAAGCCGGCTCAAGCCCACATTCAAGGGACACTCAGCAAAACTTGAATGGAAATAAATACACATCTCATCCCTGCGGGGAAACTTGTTGAATCCCGCCCGAGCGTAAGGCTGCAATTTCCGATGTAGCCTGAAGGTTTTTGATACTACCCGCAAAGACCCGGGTGCATCCGTCCCAATTTCTGGACAAACTGCAGGGTCCTTTACGCACCCATTCTGCCCTCCCGCCACCATCGCTGTAAAACGGAGCGTGGGCCTCTAGACAATTCGAAAGCCGGCTGTCACTTCCTTTGCCATCGTTTGGGAGACTTACCCTTTGATAAGACTGTTTTCCGCGATCTAGCGGCTCCGTGGTGCAGGCGCAGTCCTCCCAACTTTGCTGGGCACGGAGACCTCCCCGACTTTAGTAACGAAGCGAAAGCTGTCTGTGACTTACAAATGTTAAGAGTGGAAAATAGGGAGTGACTGAAGTCGGGTTTCTTCTCGGTAGCAGTACCCTGGAAAAATCCAATCCTTCTTCAGTAGAGAATTCTTTCAACCCCTTTATCTGTATTACTATTAATGCGCAGAGCAGAGGGCATTGCATGCAAATAGGTGCAAGTGCGCGCTTCTATTGGTGGCTGCGGAGGCCCCTGGGTCCTACTGCTCAGGCGCTCAACTACACACGCAGCTTCGGAGGCGCGCAGGGGAAAATGGATTTAATTGATTCGTTACCTCTGGTATTGTAACGCCTGCTGCGATGTTTAACGGAGAGCGGAAAAAAAAAAACCCCTCACATTTAAACTCATGTCTTGTGATCTATCATTTCATATTTGCCTTTAATTGCCTGTGTGGAGTGGCTTTGAACATACAAAGGCTTTTTAAAAGAACCCTTTCTGAGGAAAATTCACACAGATGCATTTGGCAGGAAAACCCTCTTTTTTTTTTTTTTCCTTTTTTTCCTGTCATGCCTTATTCGGATGTAAATCTAAGAAGTATTTATATAGTCAGATACTTCTGCCTTTCCCTTAAATAAAATAGCATCTAGTTTTATTCTTGACAGTGCATGGCTACCCTGAATAACTTACACAGGTTAAAATGGCAGAAGCTAAAATAGTGAATGTTAAGGTATTTGGGATCTATTTTTTTTTTTTTTTAATGTTCCTGAAAAAAAAATGGCATCCATGATAATGCCATGGGCATCTTTTTTTTTTTTAATTTTGCAAATTAAGAAATTCAGAAATATTTTATGAGTATTGACCCCCAAATATAAATCAACATAAAGATATTGATAATGTCACAATAGATCAAGCATTCACTATTAATTGCCACATTTTCTTTTTACAGTTTCTCTCTTCGTGAGCCCATTAGTGATGCAAATTGGCAGAAGGAGATTTAAACTGAGGCAGGCCTGTGGTGACTAGCAATTTGAAATACTGTAACGTGGTGCAAAAACCACACCAGTACATCATTATTAAAGGTAGCTATGTTTAAAATTAGAATATTAATAGCTGAATCTTAATATATATGAATTTAAAGCCCTTAATCATGCTTTGCTCTGACCTTTAATTTTTTGGAAGGAAAGAAATCCTCAGGTAAACTGAAATGACACAGACCCTCCACCAGGTTCCACCTAAGATGTTCTCTGACATTATAATTTAGGAAATAACATAATTTTATTGGGTTTTAGATGTAAATGGTAATACAAATTTAATTACAAAATTATTATGTCTATAATTATTAATATTGTGTCTATAATTTACAGCTCACTGCTGGTAGAAACTGATATATTGAATAAGGTCAGCAGCAGCAGCCAACTCATAATTCACCAGCCATATGTAAACTAAATAAATGAAAACACAAGATGCAAAAATAAAACAGTTTAGATCTTATTCCAAACACACCTATAGCATTTGAATTTACTTACATAGTGTGTGCTACAATCCTTCTTCATTTCCATAACTCCTTCCCTTTGCAGCCTCTTCCCTTCCCTCATTAGTAACCCTGGAGAGCAGAAGTGTTACCTCAAGTCCAGGTTGCCTTTGCTGCTTTCCAGATCTAACTTATAGATTATATCCTTGTAGGACTCAGAATTAAATCTTTCAGTACTAAGATGTCAAGGAGGACAGTGTCCATTGGGAGTTAGAAAATCCAACATTCTTAGGTGTATTTCCAAATTTTCCATCAAACAGATATTTGAAATATCTGTGACCACTAATTCAGAGTGAACAGATGTGATCAGTTGGCATTACATCAGAGTCAATTTGCTGCATTACCCTATTACTCTTGTGTCTCTGAAACAGTCTTTTGGAAAGACTTTGTTCGCAGAATTATTACAATCACTCTAGGGCAGCTTAAGAAATTTTCAGTTTACTATAGAATTAACATAAAAATATCAAGATATTACTATATTCAATATAAGAGTTTAAGGGACTCATTATCTGTAAAAGAAAAAAAAGGCTATTATTTGGTCTAGTAAGAAAGTATTTTGACCATGCAAAGTTGAGTGGAGTTGATTGATATTCGGTTCTTTTTTAAAACAAGGGTATTATTGATCTTTCAACTTCCTGCAAGTGGACTTGAAGAAAATAATCATTTGCAGACTTAGTGCAAATTGAAAGTTCTGCATTTAATGAATATCTTTTTAGAATTGAGAAAAGATGTGTTTTATTCAGGCAAAGTTTACACAGAATTAATGCAATTTATCTATGACTGTAATTTGCTTTAGATGTCAAGGAAGACAGTTTCCATTCGGGGTTAGAAAATCCAACATTCTTAGGTGTATTTCCAAAGTTTCCATCACACATATATATATGAAATATCTGTGACCACTAATTTAATACAGATGTTGAATCGTGGACAGATAGTGCACAAAAGATAAATAAATAGAAGCCAGTCTATTAACACGTTTAACATAACAATTGTTTGATCAATTCTCACTTTCTACAAAAAAGCCTGAGGCAAATATACAGCAAGCAAACCAGAATCATAAATTCAACTTACCAGTTTATTAGTTTTTCAGGGAAAAAGAAACAGTTCTACATCTCATCAATGAGTTACTGGTGTTATCTCATTCTCATATGTTATGAGATATATAGCATAGATTGCAGGTAATATACATTTATAAATATTGAAAATATTTTACCTTCTTATTATATACTATGGTAATAATTATTTTAAACAGTAAGACTGAAGCTACAGTAGTTTTGATCATTCTCAGATCTGTAGGAATATCTTTGATCCATTCTTTACTAGATGAAGCATCATTGGACCCCTCATTTTGTTGGTGCAGTTTTCAAGGACAATGTATGCTCCATGAGAAACTGATTTCCATTATGCCCTTGGATCATGATGACAATGCCTTATAGTGGCTAATGTAAATATCTGTAAAAGTTGGAAAGCAAAACACACCTGGCTTACTCCTGTATGCTATTACTATAATCAGCTTACTTATGTAAACATGTAATAGGATAACATTTGGTAAAATTTAATGAGCCCTAATGACATTTAGCTACTAGTCAAACCATTTTAAAAAAATTCTAGTGTCTTTAATAATTTTGAAATGTGTATAGGTTAAACTACTCCAAAGCCATAGACAATAATTCATTTGTCTATTTTAAATAGGACATTAATTCATGTTTGATTTTTGACAGATGAAGAGGAAAATTAGTAGACACATAAATTATACTTTGAAAATAGAAATATAAAAGTAAGAATGTGGTTAAAAGGGCATTTTTTTCAGATGTAAATCAGTAGTAAACAGCTATATATATATATATACTAATTGCTAATTATGATACTATGATACAATAAATAATATGCTAAAATGCTCTATAAATAAGGTAGAAAGTTGCAAGAGGTTACATTTAAATACACAGCTTATAAATTAATTTGGATTAATGACTAAATCAGGTAAAGAAGATACAACTCAGAAGTTAAAAATAAAACTGCATAAGATAGTAAACTTTGAGGAGAAATATTAAACTTTGAAAAGATGAAATAAGTTTGATACTAAGTAGAAGAGATGAGAACTTCATGGTACAGTAATGTTGGTAAGGCCACCATCATGATGGAATGTTCATAATATGTAGAATCCTAATAAAATTTGGCAAGATAAAGAGACATGGAGGAGGATAGTTTATATCAAACAGGATTATAAAGTAAGTAAGATAAATTTTGACCATGAAAATGTTGAAGTGAAATACTTTGGCAAACGATGAAAGGACAAACAACAAAACAAGAGT